TATATAATATTAAAAGTTTGTAAAATAAATGTTATATATACTTTTATAAACGTTACATTTTTTAACATTTATTTTATAAAATGTTAAAATTGACACCGTGTATGACTGTTACATTAAAAAATATATATAAATATAAATATACATGTAAATATACATATGCGACCCTGGACCACAAAACCAGTCATAAGGGTACATTTTTCGAAACTGAGATGTATACATCATCTGAAAGCTGAATAAATAATCTTTCCATTGATGTATGGTTTGTTATGTTAGGACAATATTTGGCCGAGATACAACTATTTGAAAATCTGGAATCTGAGGGTGCAAAAAAATCTAAATATTGAGAAAATCACCTTTTAAATTGTCTAAAGTTCTTAGCAGTGCATATTACTAATGAAAAATTACGTTTTGATATATTTACTGTAGGATATTACAAAATATCTTCATGGAACATGATCTTTACTTAATATCCTAATGATTTTTGGCATAAAAGAAAAATCTATAATTTTGACCCATACAATGATTTTTTGAGCTATTGCTACAAATATACCCCAGCGACTTAAGACTGGTTTTGTGGTCCAGGGTCACATATACATTTATTTTAAAATACATAGAACTTTTATTTAATAACTTTTAAAATTTAAAATTGACACTGTCACTTTATCTGAGAAAAAAAAATTATATGTACACATACTTACATGCACATTTAACATTTTTTTATACAATTTTAAAAGGGACACTGTATGAAAAAAAAATACACTGGAAGTCAATGGGAACCACAACAGTTTGGTTACCAACATTCTTCAAAATATCTCCTATTATGTTCCTCAAGAAAATCATGCCTGTTTGGAACGTCACAAATGTGAATAAATGATGACAAAAACAAAATTTTTCACTTTTGGTTGAACTATCCCTTTAATTAGCATTCCTGCTAATGCTGTGCCTGTGTTTGCACCTAGGTTACCCAACCTACAAAGAGAAAGTAAAGAAGCGGCCCGGTGGGCGTCCTGAGGTCATTTACAACTACGTCCAGCGGCCCTTCATCCGCATGTCTTGGGAGAAAGAGGAAGGCAAAAGCCGACACGTGGACTTCCAGTGCGTGAAAAGCAAGTCCATCACCAATCTGGCCGCAGCTGCCGCAGACATCCCTCAAGATCAGCTGGTGGTGATGCACCCCGGGCCTCAGGTGGACGAACTAGACATCCTCCCCAACCACCCTCAGCCCAGCCACCATTACGATCCTGATCCCGACGCCTCGTCCCCGGCCATCTGACCCTCTCACACAGACACACACACACCCACACAACGTCACCACTGGAACACTGCAGAGAGAGGCCAGCCAAGTCCCGCTGCCAAGACCGCATTGCCTTTCAAGTTCTCTCCCGCCTTAAGAGTCTCAAAGACGATCGCTGCGGTAGCACATGACCTTTGGACACTTTGCCTTTCTTTCCCTCATAGAACTCAACCAAAGGAGGTTTTTGTATTTAATTAGACACTCAAAGTCGATAATCACTCCTTTGATTAGTATCTGAAGAGATTGTACTATGTTGTGGTAGCTACTGCTGTTTAACTTGGCAATAAAATGGAGCACAATCCACTGGAGCACCCTGCGATGAAATGAGAATCCCTTCTGGTTTTGTCACGTGGACGGGGCGTAACGGAGCACCTGTGGAGCTTCACTGTAATGCATGGCCTCTGAACGAGTACTGAAGTGATGTCACATGTTTTTATTGTACCGTACAATTCATTTTGTTGTTATTTGTAGCTGCAGTGAGGTGCATCAGGAGAGACGTTCCTCTTGCTCGAGGAATGTTATTTTAATAAACACGATCAAATCAGCATGCTTGGTTTATTAGATTTGATTCTAAATATAGAAATGACTATAATTCATTTGTCATGTTTTCATAGAATTTTATAGGTAGATCCCAGGAAGATGTATCATTTAAATTTCACACAAAACAAAAATAAAAAAGAAATTTTGCACAGAGAAAGTTAAGACTATTTTAATATGCTTTTTTTGTAACAATTGAAGGGATGGTTTTAATAAAACATATCTTAATTTGTGTTCCGGAACAGAGGTCTTATGGGTTTAGAATGACATGAGGGCAAGTAATTGAGAATTTTTATTTTTGGGTGAACTATCCCTTTAAGCACATTTCCCTGACATCATTGAATTGTCATGAAAATGTTGATGCAAAAATGGTTAAATTAGAAATTTTTTTTTTTTATGAAAAATGTGTAAACTTATGTACATAAACATCTATATACATCAGTTCAAAAAGTTTGTGGTTAAGATTGTTTTGTAAAAAAGTCTGTTATACTCGTCAAAGCTATATTTCTTTGATGAAAACTATTACACTAAATATTACAATTTAAAATAACTTTTGTATTTTAATGTTTTTAAATGTAATTTATTTCTGTGATGGAAAACCTGAATTTTCAGCAGCATTACTCCAGTCTTCAGTGTCATATGATCCTTTAGAAATTATTTTAATATGTTGATTTGCTGCTCAAGGAACATGGAAAAAAAGATTCCATCACACTTTGTCACTCGAATTAAACTACGCTTATAAAATGTTTTTGACCTACAAAATAATTCACAATGGTGCTAATTGATTTTTCAGAACTCCGTTGTCAAGCTATAGTCTCCTTCCCCTGACAACACATTTCATTTCCTCAAAGATTTTACCACTGGATGGCAACATAGAACAAAAATATCTCAGCCACGGACCAATCAAAAGCCAGGGAAAGAGACAGAGCTGAAGCAGACAATGAGAACAGCTCCATGAGGAAACATCTCTAGCAATTCTCCAAAAGACTTTGATAATCTGTGACAGCCAGCATATCTATTATTCATTAAGGTAAAAATGAATCATTAATAATACAAAAACAAAAGAAAAAAAAACATTCTGAAGACAATATTTTTTTTATTTTAAAAATATCCACTGCTGATACATTACACTTTTACCATATATATTTTGCATAAAGAAATCTTACATAATAGAATTACAATATTAGTTACAATCTGCATATAGAATATTTAACATTTCAACAACTTTTGTAGTGTAAAAACATTAAAACACAAACAAAACGGTATATATATTTATATATGTATAGAAAGATATCCATGTTTGCTGATGGGTCGGCTGGTATCTACAGAGAAACAGGCAGGTCGGGAAAAGTCGTGTGAGAATCGTGGAAAATGCACAGATCTCCGTTGAACAGGAGGCGGTTGGAAAGAAGTATGCAGCTCAACCATTGATTCTGTGTTCTTTGAGTAGGAGGTCCCGTATCTAACAGCCACAGCGCGTTAGCCTCCGCACACCGCTGCGGTGCACTTCCTGTCCAGGAGCCCCTGCGGTTAGACCTGTTTAGCCTTGGACCCAGTGAGCATCCTGGTGGGAGTCTGCTGTGGTTTCACAAAGGCCAGGGCAGGTCGCTGAAATCCACAGGACCGCCGAGGCCAGCGTCAGCTTCTAGGAGGCTCATGATGACGGCCATGGCTGCCTCGTCGTTACTGGGGCTGCTGGATCCGGGCTCTTCCATGATGTCAATACTGAGATGGGAGTTGTCACCTGCAGGCGGAGAATCGCTTAGTGTATTCGCTTGAGAATATTACATGTGATTGACTGAAGTGAGATTGATTCAGTGTACTCACTCATTAAGGAGTTATTTGAATAGGGGTATCCTATCGAATCGGGTCCAGACAAAATTCCTGCTGAAGGCAGATCTGGAGTTCCACCATTTTGAATCTAAAAGATAAAAAATGATACAGTATAACAAAACTGTAACGTAAAAGAATCAAAAGAAACAAGACACCATTTTTTTATGCACTGGTCAATTTTTAGATTTGGGGCTATTGTTTTTTTCATAATATACTGTTTCTGATTAATTCAAGAAAACATTCGAAAAATACATATTTAAATGTTTATTTTATTGCACTTTATTTGCGTCTGTGTGTTTTGAGAAAATGGCCTTTAAAATCACGTAAATATAACTTTACAGTTTTATTCTCAAGTTTTTTTACAGAGGGGTTTGCTGCCATATTTTATATACAGTATTATATAAAATGTTATCCCTAAAAATGTGAAAACTGCGTTCACAGTATTTTACGATTTATGGAGTGATAAAAAGAGACATCCAAAGTCCCCTCATGTTAAAAAAAAAAAGATTTCTGATTAGATTTAGATTTTTTTTCTGGAAATGTATGCAAATTAGATATAGATAAGTTTGAGAACATAACATTTCAGAAAATTTGTAATACAAAAAAAATCTTATTTTAATCAATCATCTTAATCATATCTATTTTTTTAACCTTATTCAGTCTTGAAGGGATAGTTCAACCAAAAATTTAAATTTGCTGCAAATTTCTGTGTTCATTTTGCATTATTGCATTATAATTTTGCAAAATTAATTAATACAAATACAGCTTTTCACTTAAGACATTAATTGATGGTTTGTAAATTATTGTGATGTTTTTATCAGCTGTTTGGACTTTCATTCTGACGGCACCCATTCACTGCAGAAGATTTATTTGTAAACAAGTGACATAATGCTAAATTTCTCCAAATCTGTTCTGATGAAGAAACAGACCCATCTACATCTTGGATGGCCTGAGGGCGAGTACATTTTCAGCAAATGTTCTTTTTTGGGTGAACTATTCCTTTAACTGTAGATGTAAATGTGGTCAAAGAGTGATTTTGTGAGGCGGCTCTCTCACCTTCTTTCCCCCTGGAGAGCAGGTGTCAGGTGGGGGCGTGGCAGTGATATTTAAAGGACTGGAGCCACAGCTTGAAGGGGAGGAGCCTCGAATCCTGGGGGCGGGACATCATTATAGAATCAAATATTTTTGTGAATCATATTGCAGTGCAACCTATATGTGCCGGATGCTGCACGTACCTCTGAATCTCCATCACTTCCTCAGCTATCATGCGTCCAATCTTGCCAGCTCCGGCTCTAGTCCCTCCCGGAATACCAGGAACCGTCTGAAGAGGACGTTTCCCCCCTCCTGTCAGAAACATACACACATAGATGTAAAAAAGAAAAAGAGATCTGTAAGAGAAACTGCTCCGCTGGAAACGGATCTCACCGTTTCCTGATGTTAAAACGCTGTCCATGCTCTGAGGGGACGAGGCTGACTGCGAATAACTAGGATCGGCTCCTTCCAGCATACTGCCCCTGAAACAATACAATCAACAACAGCATTCTGCATTACAATGTCATTAATATAAAAACACCACTGACATTCAAAATGTGCCATTTCTGAGTTCAAAACTGGCAGGATCCGAACGCATTCTTTTATTGTTATTAATAATAAACATGTTTTATATAATACTTAAGTAATACCGTTTAATAAATAATAATAATAATAATAACATATTATTATTTACATCATCATTATTAATACACATATACAAATACTGTATTAATAGTATATAAACATAATTAACGTATTACTATACTAATACTATTAAATAATACTTTTAATACATTTGTATATTATTCCATTTCTTCTTATTATAATATTCTACTTTAATAAAATAATAATAATAATATTATAAAACTATTCACTATAATACAATTTAACATACACACACACACACTTCAGTTATTTAACTGAAATAATTCAGTTAAATAACACTTTTTATTAAATAATAGTATTTGTATTATTATTATTATTAATACTAATGTATTATTAAAATGTTTAAATAAAAATGTTAGTTTATTATTATTATTATTAATAATGTGTGTTTACTTCTATTAACATTTATTAATTATTATACTATCAGTATAATAAAGATAACATAATAGATTATCTAATTTATATATATTATATATATGTGACCCTGGACCACAAAACCAGTCATAAGGGTGCACCTTCTTATTTACACAAACATAATGTGACGTGACACTTACGAAACCACAGTGTTTGTAGAGACGATATATTCCACCTCTTTGGTCCAGGGGTTCATGAAGCTGAACCAGCTTAATAATTCAATAATTTATAATTTAATAATTATAATATACATTAATATTTTATGTAAATTTATTACATGTAAAATATATATATTTCAAATATTCTTACTCTCTCTCTATATATATATAACATACATATATATATATATACACATTCACACACATATACATTATATATATATATATATATATATATATATATACAGGTGCATCTCAAGACGATATATTCCACCTCTTTGGTCCAGGGGTTCATGAAGCTGAACCAGCGGCTCCTCAGAGTGATGAAAGAGCCGTCTTTTATCTTGAATTTGTAACAGTTTGTATTAATCTTTTCTCTCATCTGTAGCACTGAAGTAAAAAAGCAAATGAGCATTTATTACAAATGCCATTATAACAGTAAAGTACTTTTTAAACATTCATTTCCAAACAGTATGAATAAGGTGATCGAGCCAATAAAACAGAAACCTTGTCTGTGGCACTCGGCGAGGTGACCGATGTCATCCTGATGAAAATACTCATAAAATGACGTTCCTAGAAGCTCCTGAGGCAAGTACGCCAAGATGGCTGTCGCCCTAAATGGAAACAATGAATTGCGGTGATAAACTAGTGGATTAAATGAGATGCTAATTCACTGACATGAACTGAAATCAATACTTGTAGACCCTTGAGGTTTCTGACAATTCAAATCTCACTTTAGCGAGTTATCAAATCTGCTCACCGCACACATTATTAGTGGTCTTTTGAACCTTAGAAGTGCATAGAAACTTTTAGCTGGTGCCCTATAGAAGATTCTCACAAATGGATGATTCTTGTTGATGATGTAAGATGGATCTAAAAGCACCTTCTCACCTCTGGTCGACGAA